AAACATGCTCGCCCTTTCAACCGCGCGGGCGTTATAATGTGACGGTCAATCCCACTATTCGTTGGTAAAAGAGTAGCCCAAGAGTTGGCGGTGGGTGGGAATGACTAGCTGCCTTCCCTCTAGTCTTACCCTGCTAAATTAGGGACGGCTAGCGCAGATAGCCCTCATGTAGCTTTGCGCAAAATTCAAAAACAAACAAACAAACTTTCTGATATATTTTATACTGTGAGCAATTCAGTGAAGCAAATTGTTGTGAGTCAAAGATTCAATCACTTACGTTGAAGGCACTATGTAGCATACTTTTGTAGCATGTGCTTATTCTATGATACTCTCATTACCCTTTGACTTTGTACAGTATAACAAACTATACGTAGCATGATTGATAACGTAGTACTATTATTATATTGTTACGTAATAAATGTTCAAAGTAAGTTTCATTGTTGTGATAATTGCGTCGTACTATAGTTGGTTTTCCCAAGTTATAAAACTGTCATTCTAATCATATTAATTAATTTAGCAGCAACTTCAAAAAATTAAAATTTGAACGCTTATTTGTAATTCGGCACAAACCTACACAATGGACTATCTGTCCTGTGCCCAACACGGGTATCGAAATCCAGTCTTTAACGTTATAAGTCTGCAAACTTATCGCTATGCCACTAGAAGGTTTTGAGTGCTTATACAAGAATGGAAATATATGTTTAAATATTTTTATACATATCGATAGATGGCAGTGTAGCATGTAAATTCAAAGAAAATCGTTTACATATACTGAATGTTTCAAGAAATATTCAAATTACTTCACCAATAAGTATTTGGAAATTAAGTTGCTTTAAGAAAAATTTCAGTAAATTGAACAATCTGAAAATGTTTATAAGTAGCTTTACCATCAGATAGGATAATAAAGCAAACATTTAGAATATAAGACAATCTTAATTATGTTGACGATTTTTGTTAGAAGCAGTTAGGATGTGATTATATTTTGGATGAGTTTCAGTAAATACTGTAGTAAGTATAAAGGTACTACATGATGTAATGTAAACGTGACAAAGAGGGCAGGGTGAGTTCTGTAAATCTACCAGATTCCCTCACCTACGCCAATCTTATATACACGTGAAGTGTTATGTATTGTGATTTGGAATGATTTTAACAACCAACCAGGTGCTTAAACAGCATAGTTCAGAGAAGAGATTAAATGCCAAACTAAATTAGTAGAAGTCACCTTAGACAGTATTTATTCTTTTTATACACGCCTATGTCCATTATTTGGTCTGGAATCTCAGCTTCACGATATGAGTTAATTTATGCTCCGACATTAATTATTTTTATTTCACTGTCCTCATATATAATTCATATTTCGTAAATGAAAAGAAAACAAACAAGATAAATAGATATCTAAACATAGAATATTTTTATTAAGTTAAGATCATTGTTGGTTAACAAGTAGTTATTTTCGAACATTTTACTGTCTAATCTAAAATGTTTGTGAATGATCACAAAGAAAAAAATAACAGGGGCTGGTTAATGGCACCAAAAGATATCGCAACTTTTACAGAATACTTTATACTATAAAGATACTTGGTAAAGTGACTGTAATGAACAAATTGATATGTTATATTAGTTTCAGTAGTTCTTCTGCTTTAGATTGGTAAAGTGACTGTAATGAACAAATTGATATGTTATATTAGTTTCAGTAGTTCTTCTGCTTTAGATTGGTAAAGTGACTGTAATGAACAAATTGATATGTTATATTAGTTTCAGTAGTTCTTCTGCTTTGGATAACTATTTGTTTTCATATAATGAATAAATGTCATAAAAATAAAGTGAAATAACTGATTGGTTTACTCTACCAGAGGACACTTTCTGTTCACTATACGAATCTTCTGAGGTCACTTTCATATGAAATTTTTAAAATTTAGTATGGTGCTTCAAAGTTAATAAACACACTTTGACACGTATTGTCTTTGTATAACTTATCAGAGCCTCAGGTACTTCCAAACCCTCATTCTTGCTCTACAACAGTTTATTATGAAGTATACATGGGAATTAGCGGCATGTCCCAACTTCACGGGTGAGAAACAAGCTTTTGTTTTTTTACAATTACTTCCTTATTATAATAGTAGTTATTTTATCTTTCAATCTCCGTCTGCCTGATGACTGTCTCGTTTTTTTATATTTCTCTCTATCTGATAACTGTATATTTTCTTTCTTTCTCTCTATCTGATGGCTGTCTGTTTTCCTTCTTTCTCCTTGTCTGATGGCTGCTTGCTTTCGTTTTTCTCTCTTTCTGATCGCTCTCCGTGTTCTTTCTTTCTATATAATAGGTATTTGTTTTCTTTCTCTCTGTCTAACAACTCTCTGTTTGCTACAGAACAGTTTTATTTTTTTATATTTCTGTTTGATAACTCTATTTTTATTTATTTGTCTGATGACCATTTGAATTGTTACGTGCATACACACGTATTTATTAAATCAGCTTATGTGATATTTAACTCTATATATATGTTAATTTGTTGTTCTTTTCTACCTTTGTCTTTCTATAATATATTACGTTTACAGATTGTTTAGGATTGCTAAGTTTATATGATCTATAATTGCAGACAATATAATGATGTTTTATTATTGTAAACTTTCGTTTAGTATGCATCTGTGTATAACTCTAGAATTGTTATGGGCAAGAATAAATACTCTGACACTTCATTTTTTATTGTTTTTACCAGAAAGTCACTTTTTTAGTTTAAGATTGATTATACAGACAATTCCTTTGTTTCAAGAGATATTGAATTGTTAATTTGTCAAATATACTACATTGGAAACTAACTTCCCTTTTTTGAAATATACTGTAAGAAATATAAAGCTATATTCAGGCAGCTAAAGGACTTCAGGTTTATATGGATTACGTTACAGTTAATTACTCGTATGAAAGCAATTTCTGAAGCAAAAAGCTTTCTGGGACGTTCTAGCTAGATCGCGTAACTCTTTGAAATTTCTGAATGGATTAATTTACTCTTGGATAGTATTACTGGATCAATCTTCTCTTGGGACAATGTGAAAGAAGTTAATTGTTGGACAACATTACAGAAACAAGTTTAAATTATTCTTGGGGCAATGTGAAAGAAATTATTTGTTGGACAACAATACCATACTATATATCCCGCTAACACATTTTTGTTGCCGCAAATATTTTTCAAAAAGACAATAAAAGTTAAGCTAAGTTGTACGGAATCGTATAGAAGACAGTTACTTTTGTTTCTTTAATGTGTTGATTATTTTATTTTTTATTTTGAAATAGCACTAAATCGTCATGGTTACCAAGCAGCGTTTACTCATCATGGTTACCAAATCTCCGATAAATTAGTGATCTACAATGACTATAAAAATACTCCTGAACGTGAAAGTCATGCAGGTAGAGAAATGTTTGGTATGTTACAGTGCTTATACATTCTTTAAAATTATTCAAAATTGACTAGAAACTATTGAGTGTAATCGTTTTTGTATTGATGTGTGGATACACATTAGCAGTTTACTGTTATTGAAATTATGTGTTTTTAACCTGTTTCTATACTAGAAAAGACCCGCAAAACATATGCGGTCAAATTAGTATCTTTCTTGCAACAGTATTTCTTTAAATACACGATTTATAGGGTAATACAAAATAATTTTTATCGCAGACACTAAAAGTTATAAGTCCACTTGTATTAGGCCTAACATTAATTAAGTCATTATTAAGTACAGCCTATATTCGATAAAAAAATAAATTAACACCGTACCTTGTTTACGTTTTTTGCATTAGTTTAGTTAGGTCTAAACTTTACGGTAATTAATAATATCAATAAATATATTTAGAATGTTATTCTGTGACCTAATGTTAGACCTTTTTAAAACCTTTGATAAGTTTTTAATATGTTGTTGTACAAAATACATACTGAAGTATTTTCATATTCGCCTTTTTTTTACATCCTTTGAAGTGTGCGCGCATGCGGATTTAGATAGGTGCGCCCGCATTTTCCGGAGAGACAAAAATTTAATATTATTATAATCGATATATGATAAGAACAAAACGTGCTGGAATTGCTGATCTATGAATAATGTGCTATATTGAATTCACAACAAATAATTTCTATTTGTTTTTTCTAACTTCTGAATAATTCTACAAGTTTAAGAATTATTCATCAAGTTTCCGTAGTTGAACGTACTGCAAGCTGATTTTCACCTTTTTCAAAGAGACAGTTTATTTAATATGACGTTACGGTAACCATATAAAGCTAAAGGAGTAGGCCCGGCATGGCCAAGTGGTTATGGTGCTCGACTCGTAATCTGAAGGTCGCGGGTTCGAATCCCCGTCCCACTAAAAATGCTTGCCATTTCAGCCGTGGGGGTGTTATAATGTGACGGTCAATCCCACTATTCGTTGGTATCCCAAGAGTTTGCGGTGGGTGGTGATGACTATATGCCTTCCCTCTAGTCTTACACGACTAAATTA